TTTCCCTCTCTTGCTTTCTCCTATTTTCCTCTTCTTTCTCTGCCTACACCTGTTCTAGAGCATCCCTGGATAGTCTCAGTCTCACTGTCTTAATGTTTTAAGAGTAAGGAAGTTTTTCCTGAAATCTAATTTTAATCTATTTTGCGGCAGTCTTAAAGCCATTGCTTCATGTCTTGTCTTCTGTGGCAAATGAGAACAGTTGTTCTCCCTCTTATTTCAGCCTTTCAAATATTTTAACATTGGTGTCTTGTCCCACCTGAATCTGTTTCTCTGCAAGCTAAACCTACCTGATTTTTCTCAACCTTTGCTCATATGACTTGCCTTCCAACCTGTTCATTATTTTGGTTGCCAACTCTGAACCCTCTCCAGTTTTCCCCCATCCTTCTTAAAATGTAGAACCTAAAACCACACTCATTACTCAAGGCCAGGATTAACAAATGCCAAGTCGAGTGGTACTATCACCTCCAGAATCTTAAACCTAATATTCTTGTTGATTCTGCCCAAAATTGCACTATTTTGGTGACTGCATCACATTGCTGACTCATGCTGAGTTTATGATGCGCCGAACTTCAGAGCATTCTGAGTAATGCTACTGCCCATCTGGTTATCTCCTATTATGTATTTGTACATTTGGGGTGGCGTTCAGTTCCTTCGTATTCATTTAAATGGCTGGTTTTGGTCATCTACATGGCATTTTGGCATTTATGTATTCAGAAGAATTATTTTCCTTGATACATAGCCATATATGTGTAGACTATATGCATATAACTTTGGGCAGCTACATAGGCATACAGACTGGACATGTGCCAGGACACACACTATTCACTTCAATTTATTAAGGATTCTGGCTGAAAGTCATGCTCCCAAAAACAACATAACAGGTATACAACCATAAAATAAATTTAAACAAAAATAACAGATATATAATGTCCTACTCCTACAATTAACATAATCAAGTATAAATATGGTGATAAATCAGATCATGAATCTATAAAAATGTTGTGCATAGGTCCACAATTAACCCAGTAAAAAACAAATATAGTGATAAAGTTTATCAGTCATGTCAACAGTAAAGGATGTTTAACTCTGATAGCTTCAGCCTTGTGAGGAAAAATTGCAAGTTGGTTTACTAAATATGGATCTGTTTGCTGGAGGAGCCATGTTAATTTCTCTTGATTTGAGAAATATGTCAATTTCTGCAAGAACAGTGATAAATACTTTCTCCTTATGTCATTACATAGAGGACATTCTAAGACATAATGAAGTGTCTTCCAAATTCCAAAGAATATATAGAGGGGTGATGCAGGTAGCCCTGGCCATTGCAAAATCATTCTGCCTGGCAATATCTCGGAACCTCTGGAAAACCCGGACCTTTTCTATGGGGAGAAGAGTCTTTCATTGTATTTAACATAATGGCCCATCCCAGAAAATGCAAAAGTGCAGGAAAGAAAAGCTAGCCAGGGAGAGTGAAGAGAAGGGGAATTATTATATAGCACAATTTGAGCAAGCGAGATGGTAGAAGTGGCAGGATTTTAAACCAGAATCCCACCATTCTAATAATAATATTAAAATGGAATCTAATCCCATCTCTAATCTCAAGAAAGATGCAGGAGTTGAAGGAGGAAGACCCAGAAGAGCCCTGAGAAATTTATTCTAACATATGTCTACATCATTACTGGCAGCATAGCCATACTTCAGTGCCATACAGGATCTGAGACACAACTTTGGCTTTATATTCTAATATGGGAGCTTGGACTGATCATTTTGCTGTGGTCTTATAAAATTTCTTTATAGCCTCTGCTAATTGGGCTGCCTTAGTTTTAACCAACTGAATGTGGTGTTTCCATGATGGAAAAGCTGGAAACATCACACCCAAGTATAGGTTTTAACAACTCCGAGTTTGTTTCCCACCATGTTCCATGGGTATTTCATCAAACGGCTTCCCCAAAACGTTATTTTGGGTATATCATAATTTATCTTTTCAGGTTTTTTTGTCCACAAAGATGCTCAAAAGGTGTAATTGCTCTCTGAAATCTGATGAGGGTTCTTGACAGTATGACAGTGTCATCTGCGTACATTAAAATAGGGATTGAGGTTGCTAGTAATTTTGGGGGATGAAAATGAATGTCCCGCCTGTTTCCAAAAATGACATTCATATAAAGGTTAAATAGCAAAGGGGGCAAAATACATCCATGTCTAACCCCTTTTTGTGTCCGAAATTTATATCAGCAGAGAGGAGAATGGTCAATCCCACAATTTAACAATTTCTCCCAAAATTTACTAC